CGCAGAAATGACGCCAAGTACGATTTCTTTCATTTCTTTCTACGTGGGCGAAGGGTGGAAATACGAGGCACATACTTCAAGATGTGTAAACGCAGTAACACGCACATTGTTAAACAAATGTAAACAAAATGTTGATCAAAATACAAGTACCACAACGACGAAAAGAACAAGAGAGTTCACGAATAAGCCGATGGTCTTTTCGCTATATTGCTTCTTCATATTCGTCTGTCTTCTTGTTCTTTCCTTCGCTGTTTTACTTGTATACATGTGTAAACACTCATAATGATATACACAAGTCTCTCTCTCTCTCTTCTCTCTCTGTCTCTCTTGCCTTCTGTCTCTTCTCTCTCTCTCTCTCTTCTCTCTCTCTTCTCTGTCTCATCTCTCTCTCTTCTTCTCTCTTGTTCTGTCTCTGCTCTCTCTCTCTCTCTCTCTCTCTCTTCTCTATTATTATCTCTCTTCTCTTCTTCTCGCTCTCTCTCTTCTCTCCTCTCTTCTCTCTCTTCTCTCTCTTTTCTCTCTTCTCCCTTTTTTATCTCTTCTTTCTCTTTTCTCTCTTCTCTGTCTTTGTCTTTGTCTTTGTCTTTGTCTTTGTCTCTGTCTCTGTCGCTGTCTCTGTCTCTTGTCTCTGTTCTCTCTCTCTCTTCTTCTGTCTGCTGTCTCTCTCTCTCTCTCTTCTCTCTCTCTCTCTCTCTCTCTCTCTCTCTCTCTCTCTCTCTCTCTCTCTCTCTCTCTCTCTCTCTCTTCTCCTTCTCTCTCTCTCCCTCTCGCTCTTTCTTCTCCTCTTTCTCTCTCTACCCGTCTCTCTCAGTCCCTCGCCCGCACTCATACAGCATATTACTTCCCTTATACATTTTGCAAATCGAAGGCGTTCTGTGCAATTGGATTTCGGGAGAGCTTCTCGGCTGAATAATTCCGGCGAGAGAGACAATGTAACTATTACAAAGATGTTTTCCTTTTTGTGAATTTCTTTGGGAAATTTATGCTATTAAATATGGTCATGTACGGATAATCCACAAAAAGAGAGTCTGCTCTAATATAAGTTTGGACATAGACTGCTAAATTCTCAATAAACACACACACACACACACACACAACACACACACACACACACACACACATACACACACACACACCACACACACACACACACACACACACACACACACATTCAACACATACACACAACACACATACACACACACACACACACCACACACACACACACACACACACACACACACACACACACACACACACACACACACACACACACACACACACACACACACCACACACACACACACACACACACACACACACACACACACACACACACACACACACACACACACACACACACACACACACACCAAACACACACATACAACACACATACACACACACACATATACATACATAAATATATATATATATATATATATATAATATATATATATTATATTATGCATGTGTATATTATACATGTGTTGTGTGTGTGTGTGTGTGTTGTGTGTGTGTGTCTACACACTCAATTATGTGTGTGTTATATATATATATATATATTATATATATATATATATATATATATATATATATATATATATTTATATATATATATTATATATATATATATATATATAGATAGGATAGATAGATAGATAGATAGCATAGATAGATGATAGATAGATACATATACATACTATATGTATATACATAATGCATATACATACATACATACATTACATACATATATATATATATATATATATATATATATATATATATATATATATATATTATATATATATATATATATATAGTAATATATATATATATATAATATTATATATAGCTTTACCAGTTGGCCTTGTTTTGAGAGTCCCTCCAAATGCAAGGCCAATTCCCCTTCTGAAATAATTGTCTACTCTGCCTCCCTTCTCCCCCCCCCCTCTTCTCCTCCTTTGATAATTAACGTTCCTCTCTTACTCTCGCCCCCCCAGCCCCCCCCGCCATCCATTGTTGCACTCCCCTCGCCTCACAAGAATGTCAATTAAGCAAATTAAAACACTCATCTACTCAGTGACATGCCATGACACATACAGACACACATCCACCTAAACACACACATTAGACAAAAAGACGTATTAAACACACACAAATATTGAGTAGTCTAAGACACACACACACACATTGCACAGCCTAACACACACACAAAACACACAATAAACATATACGAACACCACACAACCAAGCCAACACACACACACACACAACAACCCCCCCCCCCCCTCCACAGCAACAATAAACAAAAATCTCAGCTCAATCTCTCCCCGTCGCCTCCTCTGGCACAGCAAGGCATTATCGCCAATAATTACTGTCAAGTGATTGGGTTGGCCTCCCTAATTACCGGATCCCTGCCCCTCCCCTCCCCCGAGTGCACAACCCCGCCCCTCCCCCGAGTGCCACAACCCTCCCCCTATCCCCCCCGAGTGCCAAA